CCGCCAATACCCTCAGCTGGTGCGCAAAGGTACCAGCCCAGACGTGGCGCGTGTAGAGGTACGGGTTGCGAGACAGCGCGGGAAGCAGCCAAACGGGTGATCCGGGCCCTGTCGCGGGCACGTAGGTCGTTGGGGCCATGACGGGACGCATAGCTTGTGGTAAGAGGCTTGTGCCGTACAGTGCCGTACAATGGCACAAAACTGAGAATGCGACGTGGCACCGAGGTAGGCGGCCCGGCACATGACTTGGTGTGTTCAGAAACCCTAAAACCAAAACCCTAAACCCTAAACCCTAAAACCCTAAAACTTAAGCACACCTGCCATCGTGTACAATCTCGTAGACAGCTCTAGAGCATCTATTAAAATGCCGAAGTCGTCCTCTTGTACGGCGGCGTTCACAAGCTCGTCAAAGACATCCGTCAGGACGCTGTATGCGGCGGGCTGCAGGCGGCGGCCGCCGCCACTGCCGCCGCCACTGCCGGCACAGACACCGTGACTGGCCGCAGCAGTAGAGGGTGCAGACGAGTGAGGATGTGCGTGTGTGTTTTGCACGTGTACGGCACTGAAAGTGGCACTGGCACTTGAAGCGGCGGCCGAGGAGGTAGCGGGGTTAGGGCCGGAAATCGCGGTGGGTGCATGTTCCCGGCTGCCCCTGCCGCCGCCGCCGCCAGCCGCCACCTCCTCGCGTAGTCGCGCCAGGAGGAAGGCGCCGCTGCCGCCGGTCTGACGGCATAACGACAGTGTTGCGGGAGCAGTAGCATCATCACCATCACCATCAGCAGCAGCAGCAGCAGCAGCAACAGCAGTAGCAGCAGCAACAAGTCCGTCGGCAAAAGGCTATAGGGTTTCCTTAAATGTCTTCCGGCGTGGAGCAGTAATAATACAATATAATAATATTCGACAACCCTGTATTGGTAATGTATACTGTTCCACGAGTTAGGGGTTACCACCCCGGAGGACGTTCTCGCTTGGCAGCTGCCGCAGTTGGAGAGTCTTCGCCTGGTGGAGACGTCTGCGGGGCAGCAGCTGCGGGACCAACAGGACTCCCGGCCACTGGGGCCGCTGACTCTTGTGGCTTCTCCGAAACCCACACCGCGCACACCTGAAGGCGCAGTAGCGACCGCACGCGCTCCACAGTATCGAGCTCGGGGACGCCGCCGCGGCGGCCCTTGGAGACAGGACAGGCGCCGGCTGTGGCAGCTGTTGCTAATGACGCCGCCGCCGCCGCCGTCGGGGACGGGGGCGGAAGAGGCGGTGGCGCCGCCGCCGCCGGCGATGCCGGAGGCGGTAGTAGCCCTCCACGGCTTGCCTGTCGCTGGTGCTGCGGCGGCGGCGGCGGCAGCGGCGATGGTGAAGGTTCGCCCCAGCTGAGCAGCTGCGTCAAAGCTGTAACCTGCTGTCGTACAAGGTCCTGCTCCGCTGCGTAGCCGGCCGCCGCCAGGTGGGCATGCGCGCCATGTTGGTGATTTTTAATGTGGTGGTGGTTATGGTGGTTGTGATTATGGTCAACGTGGCGATGATTGTGGTGGTTATGGTGGTTGGCGGCGCAGTGATGGCCGTGGCCATGGCCGTGGGGCACGGGTCCGAGCACGTGGCCTGCCGTGGATGCTGCGGCAGGGCCGCCGCCGCCGGCACCGCCGGCAGGTACGGCACCCGTCCGGCCCGCTGCCGCCGCCACCGCTGCCGCCGTCGGCGAAGCCTTGCGGCCAACTCGCAGGCTATGTGATATGGAGCTCAGAGTGTTCGTAAAGGACGCCGAGATAGAGCTTGCTTCGGCGGCGACGGCGGCGGCGGCGGACTTCAACGTGGACGGCAATTCACTCATCGTCGGCGAGGATGTAGACGTGGCGGAAGCGGGCCTGGCGCCGCCGCCGCCACCTCCGTCGGCGGCGGCGGCGTTGGCGGCACCGACAGCGGGCGTCGGCACCTCGCAAGACGAGATGCGGTACCTGGGCTTTGCGAGCTCCGAAGTCAGCGCGGCCGCCTGCGTCCATCGACGATGTTCACCACCACCACCACCACCACCATCCGCCCGCCCGCGGGAAAAGGGTGTTGAGAAAAGAAGGGAAATTAGATAGGAGATGAGGAAGTGAGGCAGAGGAAATGAAAGAAAGTGAGAAGGGAAGTGGGACTGGATGATGAGCGCCCACTTGAGGATGTGTATATATGTATGTGTGTGTAACGATAGGGATGAGAGGGCCTCTCGCGAATGCGATTTGGTGCGAGGAAAACAGCGACTTAGCACTGCTGCGCAGTTGCGCGCCGTTCACACGAGATATGAAAGCACGCTGCGTGTTTTCAAACACACAGCGTGGAGTGATCTTCCGAATTAACATTCCTCCAAAAGAATTAAAAACACTTCTCAAGGGATTATCAAAGAAAGCTTGTCTTGTAGGACTCTTGTAGGCACTCAAATCATTTTGACACGGATCTGATCTTTGGTTCTGATCCTGCCGTACCCCCTGCCCACCACATCGCCGCTGAGGCTGCCGCTCAATGAACGGTTGCGGCGGTTGCCAGTTAGCGCCCGCTTTCGTGACGACGGGTCCGCCACTGCTCCCCCGCCGCCGCCAACAACAACAACAGCGCCGCTAACGGCGTCGCCGCCAACGGGCCTGCCGCCGCCACATGCTGCAGCGTCGGCGGCGACGTAACGGCCGGCGGCAGCGTCGGCGGCGGCTACCGTTGCAGCTGCAGCACTGGCGGCGGCATCTGGCGGGTGTAAGATGTACCGTTGCCAACCCTGGAGCAGCGCCGTTGCCGCCGCCGTCGGCGCTGCCGCCGCCGCCGCCACGGAGGTATGGAAGCCGATCTCGCTGAAGTGCCAATCACTCACGCGCAGAGAAGGGAAGGTCCTGAAAAAAGATAAAGGCCGTACAGGCGACATACCTGTACATACATACATACATACATACATACATACATACATACATACATACATACATACATACATACATACATACATACATACATACATACATACATACACACATACATACGCACACACACGTGCTTTACTTCTTTCTTTCTGCTGTACTCCGGGGCAGTGCCGGCCTCTACCCCAGGGCCCTCAAGTCCCGCCTGTAGGGATAACGCTCTGCTCGTCCTCCTTGTACGGCAGCAAAGATGCTATTACGGCTCGCACGGTACGACGTTCACCCGAGGGCATGTATGGGTTGATGGAGAACCGATATACGGGTACCCCGGCTCGCACTCCTAAACAACCCCGGCCAGACGCACCTATACGTGGGCGCATTCCGTCGCCGCAGCAGAGGACACGGCCGACAGTACGACTGGACGAGCTGCGGTGGCGGCGGTGCTGGTGGCGGCGCCGCGGCACCGTCGCCGCCGCCGTCGCCGTCGCCCTCCTCTTCAGCGGGCTTACCAATCAGGATCAGAGGCGTCGCCGCCGCCGCCGCCGCTGCCGTCACTGCCGTGGTGGCGGCGGCGGCGGCGCCGTCAGCGCCCAGTGCTGCGGCATCCAGTCCTCGCTGCTGCTGACACTGCCGCTGTACTGCGATTGTGCCGCCCGGTGGCTGCCGCCCTCTGTCGCTCACATCACTCAGGCCCACCGCGACCAGCTCCTCCCTGCACAACCCCACATGAGCACCGCCGTTACGGCACCTTGCCGTTACGACATGTCGTACACGCATCAGCGGCTACAGACAGACAGACAGCCTTATGGAGTGGCTCCTGACACACAGACAGACATGAAGACAGACTGACAGGCAAACAGACAGACAGATAGACAGACGGACCGAGCTCCCAACTGGATGAACAGTCTGGCAGGGGGAAGAGGCGGGGGAGGGGCCCCCCCATCAGATACCCTGGAGGAGCGCCGCACGTACACATACACACACAGCCAATCCTCGTTATTGTACCTGCATGCCGTGGATGCCGTACGGTACCAGCCGTACGGATCCTTGCTGCCGTACTCGTCGAGCAACATGTAAAAGCCCTGGGTCTGCACCAGCTGCTCGGGAAGCGACCTCGCCTGCGGCCTGGACGGGGAGAGAGGGGAAAGAAAGGAAAAGGTACGGAAAACGTACGGCAACCACACCTTGTCTCCACACAAAATTCAAGACGGTGGTTCTTTCCGAAAGGGAGCGCCAGGGGAAGGGAAGGGGAGGGGAAAGGAGGGAAACGGGGTAATACACGCACGGTATCCCACGGGCTATGCCAACTCAGCTCACCTCACCTCAATCATCACAAACACAATGTCGGGGGCGGGAGGTGACTTTCACGGCTAATGGACTCACAGGCAAACCCATGCACGGGACCTGTGTGTATCGCCCATCCCTCCCGCAACCCCCCCCCACCCCCACCTCACCCCACACCCACCCATGCAATTGGCAATGGGCCTTCAGAAAGGACTCCGTATGGAAGGTGCTGGGCGCAGAGGGGGAGAGACGGCGCCCGGGGGCCTGACCCGCCGCGCTGCTACCCCGCCCTCCGCCTCCGCCACTGCCGGCGCTGGTAGTGGCGGCCTCCCCACCCTCTGCTGCTGCTGCAGGAGCCGTACCGTTGCCCCCACCATCCCTCCCGTCCCCGCTCCCAGCCCCACCATCCCCCGGGGGAGACGAAGACGAGACGGGCAGATGCACGTGGTAGCCCTGGGGGAGCACGGGGGCGGTGGGGGGCGTACGAGTGAGACGTGTGTGTATGCGGCGGGTGTGTGCGTGACGGGTTGGAAGTCACCGAGTGCGCATGTGCGGATGCGTGAGGGGGAGGGGGAGGGCGAGGGGGGCCTTCCGAAAGGGGGTGACCTGCGTGCGGCTGCGTCTCACAACCGCTTGGTGGGTCCTGGTGGCGAAATTTGAAGACTTTTCAACCACCGCCACCGCCACACGAGGCTTTCCCGCACGGCCCAAGTAGCCCCCCAACACACAGACCCCTCCCCCAACCATTAACATACCCCCCGGGCAAACCTTCCGATCCCTCACACCGACACACACCGACACACACAAACACACCTCAGCTGGGCCCACTCCTCTCCCCCCCCTCCGTCACCTCACCACGCACTCACTCACCCACCCGCAATAAGCTGGCGAAGAGGCGCAGGAAGAGACGCCGTACAAGTGCGTCGTGACCGGAACCCCAATCTGCAGGAGCAGTAGCAGCGGCTTAACACCGTCACCATCAGCAGTAGCATTCTGGGCCCCCGGTGGATATATGCCTTGAACGCAGTCAGTCAGGGTGCTCACACATATACATACATACATACATACATACATACACACCTTACCTCGGCTAGCCGCCGTACGCACGTACGGCATCCAAGGGTCAGCCTCCGTACAGCCAAAGCTGGCCCTGCCGCCTCCTCCTCCACTACCACCCGGCTCCAGACGCAGCGCCGCCAGACACGTCAGCAGCTGTCGTACAGCGGGGTGGTCCAGACAGCGCTCCAGATCGGCACAGCTGCAGACCCAGTCCCTGAGTGCGGTTGGTGGTGAAGTGAAAGGAACGAAAAATAATGTCAAGTGGACGATCAGCTGAGTGATTTGAAACCCTAAGTGAATGTACGAACATAAATGAACGGACTAATGGTTGCCAGAGGCGCCGTGAACACCGTGTACGAAGCCAGGGACGTAGCAGAATAAAGAGCAGCAGCAGCAGACAGCAGTAGCCCTAGCAGCATCAATATCAGTCGCAGTAGTGGTAGCAGTATCTCTCATGGCAGTAGCAGTCCGAGTTGGATTCAGCCCCAAATAGCTAATATCGTCTAGCAGCAGCAGTACCAGTACCTGTAGCAGCATCCGTACTCCTACTAGTAGTACGGCATTGGTACTACAGCCCACCTGTCCAAATCCACCACTACCACCCCAGCCTCATATGCTCGTACAGCCGCCGCCCCGTCGCCGCCAAACCCGCCTCCGGCGCCACCTCCGCCAGCCGCCGCCGCCGCCGCCGCCACCTCCGCTGCGAAACCCGCGCCCAACCTCCCCCCGAGCCCCATGATGAAGGGCGTGGGGGCATCCAGCAGGTCGACAAGGGAGGCGGGAACCAGCGGCACATACACGTGCCGGTACCTAGTCGCCAGTGCGCCGGTGCCGTATTGTGGAAGGAGGCGACGGCAAGGGGAACGAACGGAGGGTGGAAAGAGAAGGTGATGAGGGGGGGGGAGGGGCGGGGAGGGGAGGGGGTTTTAGCAAGCAGTAAAACATGACATCGTGACTCGGAAACCCTACATGGCAGGTGGTCTAAGGTGTGCACGCGGGGGGAGAAGGGGGAATAGCGGCTAAAACACACACACGCACACACACAAACCCCCTTCTTTCCCTCCCTCGTAACGTGGTGCGCCAGGACATGCAGGAAGTCGCAACTGCTGCTAACTCTTCACCAGGTCCTCCGCCCTCCGCAACCCTCCGTCTCGACCCCTTCTCGGGCGCCGTCTCGGCCCCTTCCTCTCGCGCCCCCGCCCTTCCCCCCCGCACCGTATGGGCCACAGCAGCTGCAGCAGCCCCTCCGCGGCCCGGGTAGGCTGCGGCATCTGGCTGCTCACCAAGACAACACGCCGCTCCAACAACACTGAAGGAATTTAACCAACAAAAATAAAATTGAATTTAAAAGAAATTCGAATCGAAGGAGGAGGAAGCGAGGGCCATTACACTTCTCTGGGTTCTTCGGAGACGCCAAAAAGGATGTGAAGGAGCGGAGGTGCCGGGGGACGGATGGCGGGGCTGTGGGAGTACATACATACATACATACATACATACATACATACATACATACATACATACATACAAGACGAGGCGCGGCTTGTGCTGAGTGCCCCGACCCTTCCGCGGTGTTTCGGCTTCGGCCCCCGGCTTTACCAGCCCACAGTGTAATCTAAGCCATACATACATACATACATATGCACAGGGCTCCATCAGCCCGCATCCACCTGCCAGGAAGGTCAACACCAGATGGGTCGGGGACAGCGCCGCCAGCAGCCCCCGGAGAGACACCTCACCCCCCCGGGGGGAACCGGTAGCACCGCACGGGGGGACAACCGTCAACGGCCAACAGCACTCCAACTGGAAACGAACCTACACCCACGTTTTATCCGTACACATACGTTGGGGAGGTAAGGGGGTCATATATTATACAAAAGCATGTACGGTGGCTGTACGGCATGACGTTCTTTTGAGGCTGTGGTTTCGAGGTCGCTGTAGCGATGTCCATGCAGTACCCCGGAGCGGTACGAAATACACAACCATGGCGCATCTCATGCCTTTCCCCCTCCACTTTCCGTCACCACTACCAGAAGCCCGTACACCCTGTCGTACCACCACCATCATTACCACCACATACCCTCTCTTTCCCCCCGGATGGTTCGTTGGGGGAGGGGACCCCCCGGTTATAGGTTGCCCCACTTCCCCCCTCTCCCCCCGTAACAAGCCCGCCCCCACTACACCCACCACCCCTCTGGCCCCCCCCCTCGCTCACCTCCCGCCGGGTTTCCCCCGGACATGGCAATCTGAGCAGGGCCCCCAGCAGGTCGGCCACCGGAGCGGAGGGGCCCCTAAGAAATACCGTGGAGAATAACCCCCGGAGGACCTGGGGGGGCCGGAAATGCGGGGGTTGTGGGGGGGAGAG